ATTTCTTGTGTTTCAGGAACCTCTGGTCTCTTGTTATTCTGCCCCCTGCATAGATCATTACTCTTAACCATTTGCCACAGTTTAGTTTTCTGGCCTTTTTTTCACGTGGATATTTGTTGTGCCAGGTTTGGTCACACATGCCTGTAAACCTAGCACTTGGGAGGCTGAGGCAGGAGGATCATTGAGAGTTCAAGACTAGCCTGGGCTACAAAGTGAGCTCAAGGCCAGTCTGAACTGCATAGCAAGACCCTGTCTCCAAAGTGACAAAAAAAGGGGGTGGGGCGGTATTTGTTGTCAGTATAAACACAAAATCATAGCTTGTGTTTTTGTTTTTGTTTTTTCACTTACTACATTAGAGAAACTTTCATTTACAGAGTCAGTTCATTTGTTTGTTTGTTTGTTTGCAGGGCTGGGGATTGAACACAGGGCCTCACGCGTGCTAAGCAAGCAGTCTTCCCCTGAGCGACACTCTAGCCCCCATGCATTCATTTAACAGCTATTTGTTGAATTATGAAATCTATGTAAGGCATTGTTCTAGGAATTCTGCACAGAGAACAAGACAGGCAAAAATCTTTGACATCATGGATCTTACATTGTAGTGGACATGGCTGGTGAGGGTACTTTCAGAACACATTCACAGCAGAATTTTAAAGTGACTGCTTGTTTCCTTTGGCCTTTGAATAGGGATAGATGTTTTGTTTACTGTCTCTTCCTCTTGTAAATGTGTAGACCAAAATGGTAACAAGTTTCTAAGTTCCCTGTTTCCCTAGTCCTTTGTAAATGTAAGATGAATAACCCACCCACTGATTATATCAGTAGCACAGAATTTTAAGTTCACATATTGTTCTTATAGTATTCTTTTCAATGTTAAATAACTCCTCTTTTATAATAAAGGAAAGAAACAGGACTTGGAGTTCATCCAGATTTGAACCCTGGTTCTGTCATTTACCATAACTTTGGCCTTAACGAGGAACATGACCAGGAGTGTTGGTGCACGCCTATAACCCCAGCGCTTAGGAGGCTGAGGCAGGAGGAGTGCTGTGAATTCAAGGCCAGCCTGAACTGCATAGTGAGACCCTGTCTTAAAAAGAAAAAAAGCAAACAAAAAAATCAACCAGAAAATATAATACTAAAAAGAGTATATATTTTGCCAGTCATGGTGGCACACGCCTGTAATCCCAGCACTCGGGAGGCTGAAGCAGGAGGATCTTTGTGAGTTTGTGACCAGCCTGGGCTACAAAGTGAGCTCAAGGCAGGAAAAAGAATGGCCTCATAGGACTATTTGGGAGATTTAATAATGGAGAGAGAACCCCAGTTCAGACATGGCATGGAGAAAACACTTGGGAAATGTGAAGCATTTTTTGCACCTGGCCTTAGTGTTTGTGTACATTTACCATGGTAGGACAGAAGCTCCGTGAAGGGCCAAGGAAGTGTATTCTTTTCATTTTCCCAGTGGAAGGGATTGGAACTCAGGACCTGATGCATGTAACCACATACTATACCACCGAGCTACAACCCAGCGCCCAGACTCTCTACTTTCAGTCTCTGTGTCTGACTTGTCCTATTTAAAAATGGAAAAGGAGGCCGGGCGTGGTGGTGCACACCTGTAATCTCAGCACTCGGGAGGCTGAGGCAGGAGGACCACTGAGAGTTCAAGACCAGCCTGGGCTACAAAGTGAGCTCAAGGCCAGCCTGAACTACATAGCGAGACCCTGTCTCAAAAGGATAGATAGATAGATAGATAGATAGATAGATAGATAGATAGATAGATAGATAGATAAAGATGGAAAAGGAAAAAGAAAATGAAAAAGGAGCTCAGGCTGTGCTGAGTGCTTGCCTAGTATGTGTGAGGCCCTAGTTCCATCACTGCCAAAAAACGTAAGTCATTGTAAAGGAGAAGATGGAGCTCTAGTCTCATCTATTTTATTTTTTGTGGTGCTGGGGATCAAACCCAGGAGCTGGTGCATGCTAGGCAGCAGCTCTGCCACTGATGCAGCTTTTGTGAGGATTAAATGAGTCGATACATAGCAATTACTTGAACAATGCTTGCCACAAAGTATTCTATAAATATTGACTAGTACTATGTAAGATACCTAATAAGATTTTTTTTTTCTTTTTTGTCTTTTTGAGACAGGGTCTCACTATGCAGTTCAGGCTGGCCTTGAGCTCACTTTGTAGCTCAGGCTGGTCTCGAACTCACATGATCCTCCTGCCTCAGCTTCTGCTGGGATTACAGGTGTGCACCACCACAGCCAGCCCTAATAAGATTTTGTTTCATCGCCTGTTGGACTGTCTTTTCCTCTCCATCTTCCCCTTTTTGCATGTGATGCTGGTTTTCTGTTCTTATGGGCCCACACCCTCCTCTTTGCTTGGCAGGTCCTTCGGGAGGGGGCCGAGAGCCTGGAGCAGCACCTGGGGCTGGAAGCTCTGATGTCCTCAGGACGGGTGGACAACCTGGCCGTGGTGATGGGCCTGCACCCCGACTACCTTAGCAGCTTCTGGCGCCTGCACTACCTGCTGCTGCACACAGACGGGCCCCTGGCCAGCTCGTGGCGCCACTACATTGCCATCATGGTGAGCCTGTCTGCGCCTGGCCCTTGTAGGCGTGGCCACATGGGGGTTCTGTCCTTGGATCCCTTTGCTAGGGGCTTCCTGAATTGATTTCATAGATGAAGAAGAAGGGCCTTGCTTGGAGCTGGGCGTGTGGCGCATGCCTGTAATCCCAGCAGCTGGGAGCTGAGGTAGAAGGATCACCTCGAGTTTGAGGCCAGCCTGGCCTACACAGCGAGTTCAAGCTCAGCCTGAACTGCAGAGCAAGACCCTGTCTCAAGGGAATAAGAAAAGAAAAGAAAGGTCTAGCATTGTCTGGCTGTCCATAGAGTTTTAGTTTTGAAGAGAGGCATCGTCGGTGCCTACTTCAGACATTAGGAAGTTGAGGGCCAAAGAAGTCAGGTGACTTGCAGCACTGGTGCCAGAGCCTGAGTGAAAGAAGCCTAGCTTTTCTGCCGCTTGGCCGTAAGCCCTGTGGTATACCTCCCTCCAAGGGGTCCCTCCTTGAGTGAGGCGTCGAAAGAGGAGAGTGACCCGGGCTCTGACGAACCTTCCCCCCCACAGGCTGCTGCCCGCCACCAGTGTTCCTACCTGGTGGGGTCCCACATGGCTGAGTTTCTGCAGACGGGTGGTGACCCCGAGTGGCTGCTGGGCCTCCATCGGGCCCCTGAGAAGCTGCGGAAACTCAGCGAGATCAACAAGCTGCTGGCGCATCGGCCGTGGCTCATCACCAAGGAGCACATCCAGGTGCAGTGGACAGCGGCGGGTCCCTAAGGAAACCCCAGGGCTGGGCTGGGACGCGGCCGGCAGCCCAGGGGCAGACACTGAGCAGTTCTGGCCGTCTTTACTCTCCAGGCCTTGCTGAAGACGGGGGAGCACAGCTGGTCCCTCGCTGAGCTCATCCAAGCCCTGGTCCTGCTCACCCACTGCCACTCACTGGCCTCCTTCGTGTTTGGCTGTGGCATCCTTCCGGAGGGGGACCCAGAGGGCAGTCCTGCCCCCCAGGCACCATCACCCCCCAGTGAGCAAAGCAGCCCCCCCAGCGGAGACGCACTGAACAACTCCGGGGTGAGTCACCGTGGTCCTGGCTCTTGGGGGGAAAAGCTGGCATGACCTCTGGCTCTTGGGTTGAAGCCACTATTTCCTTATCTCCTCATGCTGAGAGGCCACAAAAATGTTATTTGACCTTGAAGCTCGTTCTCCTCATCTGTTGAGTGGGGATAAAGACCTCACTAACTGTGGGTTGTGAGGAGCAGGTGAAGTACCATCTGACTGGCCTTTCAACACATGGCCTCTGGGTTTTGTCATTTTAAGATGACAAAGTTTGAAGCCAGGCAAACCATATGTGTGTGATCCCAGCGGAGGCCGAGGCAGGTGATCATGAGTTCCAGGCCAGCCTGAATTACATAGGGAGACCTCACCTCAAAATAAACAAGCAAAAGAGAGTCTACCTAAGACTCCTTAATATGACTTTGTTTTAATGTTCAAATATAGACAATTTTGGGCTGTGGCTAGAGCTCAGTGGTAGAGTGCTTGCCTAGCACGAATGAGGTCCTGAGTTTGATCCTTAGTACCACAGGAGTAATAAAAAATACAAGTAATTTTAAAATTACCTGTAAGGGAAGTTGATCTAAGAGAAGACAGGTGTCTCTCGATAGCCTGCAGCCCTTCTGTGGCTCACGGACCGTGTGAGCTGTGCGGCACAGTGGCTGCTTCCCAGGCGGCCCTGGCCCTGTGTGATCATTCAGGAAGGCCTGGTGTGTGGGAAGGCTGAGGTGGAGTTTCCTGTGGGGAAAGGAGGGGGAATCTGTGGTGAGCACTGGGTCCCTCCTCCAGGGCTTCGAGGCCGCCCGTGACGTGGAAGCTCTGATGGAACGCATGAGGCAGCTGCAGGACAGCCTGCTGCGGGATGAGGGAGCCTCCCAGGAGGAAATGGAGTGCCGCTTTGAGATGGAGAAGTCCGAGAGCCTGCTGGTAGCCCCCTCAGGTATGGGTCCCCGGGACTGTCCCCTTCTTAGCCATTTGTGGGAGCAGACACCTTCACACGTCATGCCTTCAGAGGCAGCCACCTCTGAACTTCCCTTCTCAGGTATTCAGAGGCCTCTTGGCCTTTCCGGCTGTGTGACCACTGGTAGTCACTTCCTGCCTCAGGGCCTTAGGACTGGCATGAAGGGAAAATGAGCAACACGTTTAACACAGGCCCTGGCCCAGCGTGACAGCTCCGGAAGACTGTCACTATTACTGTTTCTGGGGCCTTGCCTCCTGGGCCCATGTCCAGACCCACCTCCTACCCAGCACTAGCTCTAGCGAAAATCCTGCTCTTCCCCGTTGCAGCAAGGGGCTCTCTCTGGCCTCTCCTCTGTCTCTCCTTGCCCCCCATTTGACGATTAATCAGGAGTGGAGCCCTGTGTGTCTGTGCCTCGCCCTCACTGTGACCTCTCTCTGACATGGTCTTCAGCTGACATCCTGGAGCCTTCTCCACACCCAGACATGCTGTGCTTTGTAGAAGACCCTACTTTTGGATATGAGGACTTCACCCGGCGAGGGACTCAAGCACCCCCCACCTTCCGGGCCCAGGTAGGGCTTACCCCATTGGGATAGGCCATTGCTGTAGATTTACAGAAAAGCAGGGGACAGACAGTTTGAGTGATTAAGGTACCTTCTTGCAAGGCCGCATGAAGATTTACAGAAAAGCAGGGGACAGATAGTTTGAGTGATTAAGGTACCTTCTTGCAAGGCCGCATGAAGATTTACAGAAAAGCAGGGGACAGATAGTTTGAATGATTAAGGTACCTTCTTGCAAGACCACATGAAGGTAGTGGGATCCCACAGGTCTAGAAGGGACCCATTTGTGCCCTGAGCTTGTGGTCCTGATTGCAGGGAGCAGGTCACCACTGAAGTACATACTTGTGGCTTTTTCAGGGTCAGTGTGTTATATTTGTTGTGCAGAGTCAGGTGTGGTGGTGCACGTCTGTAATTCTAGCACTCGGGAAGCTGAGGCAGGAGGATTGACGTGAGTTCAAAGCAACCTGGATTACATACACAGTGAGGCCTTGCCTTGTACACAGTGAGACCTTGCCTCGAAAAACCAAAACAGCAACAACAAAAATCATAGTGGAGGGAGGGAGCATTGTGGAAAGCCGGGGCTAGATCTAAGGTCCAGAGGATGGGGTCTGTGGTCAGCCTTGGTCTCACTCACTGACCGCTTCCCGTGTGCCTCAGGACTATACCTGGGAAGACCACGGCTACTCACTGATCCAGCGACTCTACCCTGAGGGCGGGCAGCTGCTGGACGAGAAGTTCCAGGCAGCCTATAGCCTCACCTACAACACCATCGCCATGCACAGTGGCGTGGACACCTCAGTGCTCCGCAGGGCCATCTGGAACTACATCCACTGCGTCTTCGGCATCAGGTGAGCACGCGTTTCCTGGTCAAGGGTGTGTGCGCCACGAATCTTACTCTCAGCTCACTATTACTTTATTTTATTGTTGTTACTTCTTTTTCTTCTTGCCCATACTATTTTTCAAAGTAACTTTACTTAGCTGATTTTAAAAATTAGTAAGTCTTCATTGTTCAAACCTTAGAAATGACACTCTTTAACCCCACACTGAAATAACTGTGGTTGTGTGTGTGTGTGTAAACTTACATATATAGAAGCACATCTATACGTAGTTATGTACATACATCGTATACTTAGCTTATATAGTGTTTATATTTCCATTTCAAATAGCAGATTTTCTCTCATAGTGAATAAGGTCAACATAAGTACCCGTTGGTAAGGAACTTTATTTATTTATTTATTTATTTATTTGGTCTTTTTGAGACAGGGTCTCAAAAAGAGTTCAGGCTGGCCTTGAGCTCACTTTGTAGCCCAGGCTGGTCTCGAACTCACAGTGATCCTCCTGCCTCAGCCTCCTGAGTGCTGGGATTACAGGTGTGCACCACCATGCCCGGCTTGGGAACTTTAAATAATGCTATAGCCATTCAGTGAAATACAGTGCAGCCTTTTTAAGGGCTAGGGATGTAGCTCAATAGTAGAGTATTTGCTTAGCATATATAAAGCCCTGGGTTGGTCACCAGCACTGCAAAAAAAAGAGAAAAGTCTTTATTTTGCTATGGGAAAGTGTTGAAAATGTATTGAGAGGGGCCAGGATATAGCTGAGTGGCACAGCGTCTGCCTGGCACGTGCAAGGTCCTGAGTTCAATTCCTAGTACCAATAGAAAAAAAAAAGACAGTGAGAAAAGAAAGTTACCAACCAGAATCTTTTTTTTGTTCCTTTTTTTCTCCTTCCTTTTGTGTTTTTGCTTTTGTCTTTGCTCTTGCTTTTTTTTTTTTTTTTTTTTTTTTTTT